CAATTTCAAAGAGATACATCTGAAATGCAAAACAAAACGAAGATCAGAACCTGAGGTCAAAAAAGGCTGTACTTACTCCTTATTCCTGCTTTTAATGCATGACTGGTAAAGGACTTTCACAGCATTCCAGGTTCCCACTGGTCCAGAGCTAGGCTTGAAAATATCTCCAAATGGTGCAAAAACACCACGGGAAGAGGAAATTCCTGAAGACTCCACCAGCAAAGTGTCAGAATTTAAAAGCCATATCTATAAATGAAGAAATAATTTATTATACTGATACTAAATCAGCTGATACAAAAGCCACATTCTTACAAAGTTTCTAACAAAGTGTTAATGGACATAAATCGACATTTTATTATTCAGCACAGTCTGCACAGCCTCTCACAGAGAAAAGTGGGTTAATACAATAAACTGAAGCCTGATTTATCACAGCCACTGTTAAGACCATTATTTCTGTGAAGCTGCCTCTTCCTGTGGCTGTAAGCACATTCCCTTTGGTGGTAACAAAAGAAACAGTCCTGAGTCATCTGTTTCAGTATCAAATGGATTATTTCTCTGATTTCATAGGGGTTTTTTATGAATTAGTTGAGCATATGGTGTTCAACAACTGAGGGCTAAACACAGGGAACTGAAAGACTGCCCACTGGAAGTGCCAAAAATTAAGGATTTTTAGAAAAATCATGATAGTAACGACTGGATGAAGCTAACACATGCAAGGAAAAAGACAACAACTAAAAGCAAGGCTAGAATTTACATACAGCTGTAGCAGACCCTTCCTTGGAAAATAAACCTCTATCATATTTGACTATGGGACTGGCATTCTTCAACCCTACTTGGTCACAGCAATTCACTGGGTGTTTACAGGGGAGTGTTTTGAGAAACCTGAACATTTTGTATCACATTTTGGATCTTATTTAATCTTTCCGTGATTATGCATAATGTGGTGCATTTAATCGCACTGTGCAGAAAAAAAGTCAGGCTTTTCCTCTGTTCACAACCTGAAGTAGTGAAGTGATCCGACTTACCAGTGGAAATAAATTTATACAAGTCCTGAGCCTATATGAAATGTTTATATATTAAATATTTATCATAGAAACCAGGATTTATGCAGTGCCGCTCACTAGAGAATAATCTGCTGCTTCTCACGACCTAATCAGCTTCAAGTAAAACAAGTTACATGATGTTAGGTAGCAGACATATGATATCCCCTGTGGAGGGAAAAAGCCACCATTAACAGGACACATTGTATACGTTGTAATTGAATGTGGCAGTCAAAATTTATCAGAGCCCAAGGCTCAGAACATTACAGTGGAAGCTTCATAATGGAGGAATGAGATATATTAATAAAGATGTCTTGGGAGGGATGGGAGGAGGAGAATCACTTGAGCACATGCACATAAATGATGACAAGCAACTGTGCTTGGCTTAGCAAGTAGCTGTTCACCAGTTTCGCTCCAGTAACTCCTGTACGCATTCATAACCTAAATTGCAAAATACCTCATTAGCTAGGACCATTACGCATAGTACTTTAAGCCAAGTGTTGAAGACAAACACTTGTTGAAGTGTTGGAGAAAATGGGGAAAAAACAGAAGTGTCCTATACACACAAGGAACTGCTAACATGCACTTCCCTGTAAAGGAGCCTCCTGGGATGCTTTTCAGAAAAGGAATATCCTTCAAACTAGTTTAGGGAACAAAGTAGCAACAGCTCTCTGCTCCCTTCAGAATCTTTCTGCAACTTGCTTTAGAGAAAGCAACCTAACCATTTCTTTTCTAACATGGCCTATCTGAAAAATACTTCCTTTTACCAAAAGTGGCCTCTGATACGTGGCATCTGACAGTAACATTCTACCACTTGTTCAGAGTATGTCTTTGTCTCAACAGCAATGCAATAGATCTGTATTAATAATTTAGCATACAATACAGAGAAAGCAAATGCATCTTTGTGGGTGGAAGGACACTTGGCCATGAGAAAATCAACTTCTGAACTACGTTTGATTCTTTAGGCAATAATTTCCTTCTTTTCCTCATGCATGAATTATTCTTTGATCTTGCTTTTGTCTGAATGAACAATCACTCACCAAGACTGTGTTGACTCAAAGCACTTTATAAATGTTATTCCTGGCTAACATAGTTTCAATTTTTGAACTGTGCTTTCAACTGTTACCTACAATGTACAATCTTTCCTTCCTCTCTACCATTTTATACAGCAAAGCCTGAACAACCGAATTCCTTTGATATTAACTCCAGTATGAAAAGAAAAGAACCTTTACAGAAAGATAAATATATAAAGTTTAGAATTCATTCATAGTGCAGATTAATGACGGTTTCTGAAATGACAACATCAAGAGAAAGTGTTTTTTTGCTTGGTTGTTTTTTTAAATCACCTTGTCAATAGGCTTCAATGATGTTCTTAGGGGAAAAGCTCAGTAATGCAAACATCTTTCATGACAGCTTCTTTGTCCTCACATTCAGACCGTTCAGATAAAGATGGTTTCATTATACTTCACAAAGAATAAAGCTTTTTAAGAGAGTTGGGTAGTCTCAACAAGGTACTCATTATGTCACATCTCGATCACTGCAACGTCCCCCTCTCCAACCTTGACCAATGCAAAATTGTTCTGTTCATGACCTCTAAGACATGGTACAAGAATCAGTACCTGATTTACAGACCAGGTGTCTCCCATTTTGTTACGTATTTATTTATGTAATAGGATATCTTCCCACTCCCTCTCCACTCACTCCTGAAATACAAGCTGCACCTTACTTTCAAAGCACTTCACAGACTAATCCCACTCCAAAAAACCATCTTTCAGTCAGTACTGAAAGTCATGAGTTAGTATTCAAACACTCCAAACTCTACCACACACATTTTGGTTTTCACAGGTGTATCTTTTGTGGGTTTATCTATCCACAAAATTACTTACTTACCTCTTTCAAACCCATCCTTTTTATAGTACAGAAAAAAAAATTGTATCTATTAAGATGCTGCTGTACTGACCAATAATGTACCATTTTGCTTGTGTTTTCCTATCTCACTATCCATTTGAGGTCCACATCTTATTCTTAGCTTGTAAGTCATGCAACTTCACCATAGGGAACCCTTCAACAGTGGAGCAAAGAGAGGAGGCAAGTGATTCATCTCTTAGTGAATGTGAAGAGGACAGATATATCTTTAGGATAAATAAGGAAATCTCCATATGTCACTTTTTTTTTTCTTTTCCTGAAACAAAGACTTTTATTTACTGTTGCCCTTTAAAGAAAAAACAACAACAAATAAGTACTATACAGCTTTCAGGAAGTTGGTTATGACCAAATTAAACAACAGAAACTCATGATATCTGCAAATAACTCTACTGGTAATGTTAAGTGACACAGGCAGAGGAAAGAAGGAAAGTGAGTATACATAATATCTGTGGTTTAAAAATATACTAAAAAGACTCAACCTTAATTATCACATACAAAGACTAAGCTGTGTGCATTCACATATGTAAGCACAAACACTGTGAATAAGAATGTTTGGCTTGTTGCCAAAACAAACAAGTGGGACAGCTGGTCCATGATGCATCAGTGGTTAGACCACTTGTCTAACTTGGCAGTGCACTCACAGACTCAAGCACCTTCTTTTTTTACTGTTTAGCTGCTTGCAATCATTAATAAAAACAGTGCTTAACATTACACTTGTCTCCACAAGGCCTCTGAGTCCTAAGATTTAACCCATGACACCAGAACACCTGTTGGTGTGTGTACAGTATCTAGAACCTTACCCTGGACATGAGTAAGGGCTTTCTGATGTTAAACACACAAAAGAAGTATTAATAGCTCACTAATAAAAAGGAAGAGATGCCAATCAGAAGCCAGCCCTTATGCTAATGCAGCCTGCTCTTCTAATCAATACACTGGCAAAAAAGCAACTCAGCTATGACTAATGGCAATCTGCTAAATAAGGTGATTTTTCTGATAGAAAATAGCCAGCTTGTTCTACACAAGCCACTAGATTTAAGCATCAGAATATTATGTAACTTGGAAACATGTAAGCTACACAAGGGAAAAATAACAATTTTTAATGACTTCTCAACTAGATTATACACAGTGACAATTCCCAGCCTGCTATGAGAACTTATTTTAGCATCACAGACGAAGTATTGCTCAGTGGTTGCATAAATGTCATCTTGGCATTAAATTTATTAAAAAAACCCAGACACCTCAGAATCTGGATGTTCAGAAATAATAGAAATTGGACAATGTATATATAAAACAGTTTATTTAACTAGATTGCCTACCTCAAGAAAGTGCACCTGTAAGTTTATCCAGGGCAGGAATCTATAATCATGTATTTTTTTGTGTCTATAAATTACTCATACAAGCTGCAAAATTACTGCCTATATTTAGTTCATGACCAAAAGAAAACATTCCTTGTCATACCAAGTATATAGTATTAAGATAATTCCAGACCCAGATTCCTTTCCATCTTAAAAGTTTGAGGAATTTATCTGTCACTATTTAAGTATCAAGCATAACCAAGTTTAACAGCATTAGAACATCAAATATAATAGGCAATTTTATTTTTGTTTGCACTTCACTTTGCAATGCAATGTACTGACTACATTAGTAGCCTCTGCTGACTTAAGACAGTATTTGTGAAAGATGCTACACAATTTGATGAACTTCTGGTGATTAAACATAAGAAGCACTGGAGCAAGAATATATATAAAGTAAAAACCTTAAGCTTTATTTTCTGAATACAAAACACAGTGTTATTTTTCTGCTACTTGCAGTAAATCTGTAGTATCTTCATTACTGTATTAATAAAGAAAATTTCTCTATATATATCTACCTTGATTAAAGTCCAGGGGAAAATTTCTTACCTGGACGTATCTTTTCAGAACTACTTCAAGAATTTGAATTTGTTAATTTTCATTAAACATACAATCATGAACAGCATAAATAATACATTTTAGGAGCTGGGATTCATAGGCTAAACTGTTTTTCAGTAGGATAAAGTTTAAAAAAAAGCATCTTACCAGAATGTAGATTTTTCCATTATGCCCTTTTAAGGTGAATCTGAATGTGCTTTTTGCAGAGGACAATTCCACAAGACACCGAGCAACCATACTCTGTATGAACTGAGACCTGTTTAAGAATGAACCACTTATTATACGTTTTCATTAACAACTACATGGGCAAAGTCATTCGTATCAATGCACTGCAAGTAGATTAGTATCTCCATACTGTTGATTGCACTACATCCTACAATCTCTTTTTAATGAGAGATGGGGCTTCTTTCTCTTTCTCTCCCTCAAAAACAGAGGGCTTTCTATTTCCTGCAAAAAGATTTTTTTTAATAGATCAGCAGTCTAAATTGCTCCACACCCTTTATTTTTACCAACACCAAATGTCAAATGCTGAATAAAAGCTTTTCCCTATTATATTTTACACACATGAACATAAAGTTCAGAATGATGCACATATTTCAAATATAGTTCACAAAGAACTGTGACTAACACATAGTACATGATACAAGACAACTAGATGAAGTTCTGTTTCATCTTAGTCTTAACTTTGATCTGAATTACTTGAAAATTCAAGTATCTTACTTCCAGTTCAAGCTTTACTTAACTTTACATAATTTAACCTTTCATTTCTATATTTAGTCATGCAAACTTCAATAGTTCAAAATAAGTAAGTATTGGATTTTGGCTTATCACCTAAGTAGTGTACACTGAAACAAATTATACACATTCTCTCTCCTGCATCACACACAAACACACAAAGACAAGCAAACAAAATTGTATGAGTGACTTCAGACTACATTTCCTTTACAGTGCTTATTTCTGTGATGATTACATAAAATGTGACAGCACTTTTAAATTATATGTAATTATTCAAGAAACTAAAATGTTACTACATTTCTAGCTTCCCTTCTAAAACATAAAACTCAGCAAATTATCTGGAGGTTTTCCAATTTTTGTTACCTGGGTGTTGGGCTGAAACTTTCCTCAGACGGTTGAATAATCACCTCAGTGACATAATACTTAATGGTATCTAAAATGACAAAGACATTTTTCCAGTACAGTAGAATAACCGACTTGTTAAGAGTACACTGCAAGTCAGTGTATCACTATAGTAATTAAACTTTTGTTCAGCACTCAATTAAAAGGTGCAGCAAGTAGTCAAATTCTGCTTTGGTTTGGGGGAGGAGAAGCAAACAATAAGAGAAAACATACATTGCCAGAAGAAAACTGCTCTGAGCTAATTACATGATCAGCAATATATCATTCATATCGATCCTTGTTTAATGCTGAGAACAATCATCTTGAAGCAAAGCAAGAGCTCAAGCCAAACCTGAAAGATGAATTGAAAGAACTTTCCTAAAGCACTGAGATCAGCACAGCTTACATAAGTATTTTAGTACCCTCTGCTGCTCAGTAATGCTGCAGTGAATCACAAGAGACAGTTTTAATAACAGCACACACAAGGGAATAATTTTCTTCTTTGCTCAAAGAGCAGAATAGAAGTTCTTTACAAAAATTGCACTAACTCAACACTAATACTGCATACATTCTGAGTTTCAATGTAATTGTTCCCAAAAAGCTCCACTGAGACAGCCTTTAACACTAAATAGAAGCATTTGAGTACAGAATTTCATCCCCATCAATAAAGTCAGGTCAAACATGATCACATTGAAGCTCTGGGTCTATGCTACAAATACAATCTAACCAGAGGGCCAGCAAAACAGGTTAAACATACACAGTAGTAAACTCATTCCACTAAGCTTTAGCATGTGAACAACAGTAAAGATTCATCAGTTCCATAAATTTTAAGGGTTGAAGGGACTGTGTCATCTGATCTCTGTCAACACACACCATTAAAACTGGATGAAAGCAAGCATTTCAGGAAGACACCTGATCTGTTTTAAAGATTCCAAAGGCAATCTCACCCTTTCTCCAGATAAGTACTACACTTTTTAATTACCCTCTGATAGGAATTTATATTCTACCTCTAAGTTTAATTTTAGTCTGTTCCATGCTGTCTCTAGTCCTTAGAGACAGGAGGAAAAGAAGCCAATTTACTCACTCTAGCTCCCCAGCTGTTACCCTGAGTAAGGTATTGGTGCTACTGCTGCAAGGGCATCGGGAATTAAGGAGATGTTTGCCTGCAGAGAGACAAAGGGTAGCATTTCCAAGAAAAAAATCACACAAGTATAAGGAGATGGAGTTGGGGAATTTCAAAGGCTGACAGGTGAATTTCAAAGGCAAATCTGGCCTCCACAGCTACACCACTCTAATCCAGTTTTATCTGGCACTGATATCTGCTCATGAAGAAGCAGCAAAGCATGACAGTCAAGTCTGCTCTGTAGTCTCATGCCACAAAGAGAGTTCTGTCTAGACTTATACCATATATTTCTGTCTAGTTTTTGTGTCTGTTCTTTGAACTCTATGTAGATTTCCTATAGTACTTAAGAAACATGGTCAAAACAATGCATATGCATCTAACTTCAGCCATGTTTGCAGTCCAAACCAAATGCCTGCACATCTACATGGTCTTTGCCTGTTCCCATACCCACTGATCACATCAATTACTGGCTGCTACAACTATCTGAAGGCTAGATTAAGGCATCTATTCCATTACTCATGAAGGTCTGTGAAGCTCTTTTCCAACCACTGCTTTCCCAAAGTCACAACCTGCTTTGTTGGCTTTCAAACATCTTACCTTAAATTTGGTTTTATTAAAGCCTGTACTGTTCACATGTCTGTGCAGGACAATCAGAACCTTTAGTAACAGAAGACCTGTCTTGCATCTCTTCATGACTTATTTCTTAAACAGGCTTGCATTTTCTGAGAAGTTTTTATATTCTCCAGATCTCTGAACTGAGCCAGGCTCACACTGACTGATGCAGTGGAGTACAGAGAGAATGAAAGAATGAACCCTGCTAGTAACAGTCTTAACATTGCTTCTCTTCTGTTAATAACTGCCTTTTAAAAATCACTAGAGACTCATCTTCACACTACTTCAGGTAAACCCTGCTGATACAATATAATGACAGCTTTTAAACCAATAATCTCATCATCTCATCACTGAATGATGATGAGAGATAACCTGTTTCTTTGACAAGGCTTCCTTCCCGTAAGACCAGGCTGGTTGTCAGCAATCACATCCTTAGCTTCTAGTTCTGTGTTATCAAACTATGAATTAACCTTTCTATTCTGTAGGACTGACAGGTGTCCTTTTTTATTGAAATTCTTAGTAAACTGGAATCATACATTGAGTCTTCCAAAACCCTGGAATTAGCCAAATGCACCACAGAAAAAAGGATGAGGAAAATCCCTAATCCGTTGTAACTCACTTTCAAGGTCTAATGGTGGAAGCAACAACCTCATCTGTTCCAGAAGGGAATAAGACAAACACACATGAATCAGCCTTATACCTTACTGATAAAACTACTTTCCAGAGCTTTTAACCTCCAGTGCTCAATGGCTGATGCAGTGACGTCTAGTTAGGTTTGTACATCCCATACCTGATGATACTGTTTCTCCCAGCATTGTCTTGCAGCGCTTACAAACTACTCTGGTATTTTCCTTTGATTTCTGTAGGACAAAGAAATGTCATTTAAATGTCACTCAGTTATTCTGAAAAAGGAATGCATAATTTTAACATACTCTCCAGAGTACGTAGTGAACTTTGTACTTGTTTCTGTTCTCTTTATGTTTACATGCACACAGATTTGCACTGACTACTTTAGCTTTCTACACTTTGACTTGCTTGCAAGTTTCACACTAGTTTTAAAATATATACTGACCACATAGTACAACCTGGAATAGCTAACAGGAGAATCTCATAATGCCGAGTGACTGGATGATAAAACGACAAGGTAAATTTGATCGTAAGAGTAAAATAATGCACATGAAAAGAAATATTCCAAAATATATACATAAAATACTATGATGCAATGTGACTAGCATCGATCACTAAAGTTCTAACCACTGTGGACAGTTTTAAAGGAATACCAGTTCAGTGTTCAGCCAAGAGCAGAGAATGTCCGCAGAGCATTCCGAATTACTAAGAAACAGCTGAAGAACACACCAAAGCATGATATTCCAGAAAGGTGTGGTGCATTCTGTTCTTGAAGAACCCCTTTCCCTCAAATGAAGCCAAACCAGAAAAGGCATTGACAAAGAATAATTGCCAGAGATGCGAAATAGTTTCCATTTGTGGCAAGCGAATGCACATAATGGGAGAAAGTATGAAAGACAGAAAGCTGAGGGTTATCACTGAGATACATAAAATCACAAACGTTTAGGAAAAGCTGAAGAGGAAAAAAACTTTTACTTTCATAGGTCATACTATGAAATTATAACCTGTCTTGTATCAAAGAAAAGGTAAGTGTCACACAATGCATAATATAGTTTGGTACTCATTACAGGAAAGTATTTTTCATATTAAAAGTATACACAAGTTCAAAAAGTTTTCAGAAATTCAGGGGAAACAAGGTTCATCAAGGGCTTATTAAAAACAAAGATTGTGGATAACATCTGGTTCAAGAAGTCTCTACACTGGCCAAAACATCACTTAATACTTGCCTTATGCTTATGCATCCAATACTGCCCATTGAAAAAGACCTCATTTCTGAGTGAACCTGTGATCTGCCCCAGTACATACAGTGTTAATATTTAAATTCAGTATTAGTATAAAGATACAAGTAAGCACAACTGCTTCTTTAATACAAAGTCTACACTACAGAGCTGGTTCTGTGTGGGTTTATTAACCTGGGTGCAGCACAGTAAATACAGCTCTAGTCTGGAAACAGTCTGTATATATAATCACAATGATGCTCCTGGGTTAATAAACCCTTCTGGAGCTAGAAATCCTGAGAATGTAATGAGAAGACATCTAAACTGGTTTTTTAAATGTGGTCTTCATATAATCAACTTTATTGTTCATGCAGCATACAGTGCATAAAAATACCCATGTGTATTTAAACAACTACTGTTTTATTGGCTTGGTTTATAAATCCAAACAAGTCATTATCAACTTCAGAAATCATATTGCAGCATATGCCTACAAGAATAGTATCTAAATTTAGCATAAATTAAACTAGTTGAGGGGAAAAAGCTCCAAACTTATCTTTTTCAGCAACCTTTGTAAAATATGGTGACAGTTTCCATGAACTGCACAGAATACACATGTGCTCTTCAGGAAGCATGGTTTCTCTTCATCACCACTATCACGCTCTTTAGTATTCAAATTTTAAAATGTATGATGCTGATGTGTCAGACTGATGTCCAGAACTAACTGTGGTGCTCTGTGGCTTTACTACACCACAAAAGTGGAAAAAAAAAAACCCCCACAAAAAAACCCTAGCAATCACTATGAAGTGAATCCAATGGCCTTAGCTATGTCAGCTATACTTTTCATCTTACACAGGTAAGTTTTAAGCTATGTCCTGTGGACTTTCAGACTATGCAGATTTCCAAGCACAGTTATCCTAGTAAAAAGGACGGACGGACGGACGGACAGAAGGAAGGAACGAAGGAAGGAAGGAAGGAAGGAAGGAAGGAAGGAAGGAAGTGTTGTTTGTTGATTTATTCTAATTCAGGTGCCCAGGAGTACATGTGGTCTGTAATTAGACAGGTGATGAAAGAGATTGTAGACAAGTGAAACAGACACCCTGGGCCCATTTTTCAACTACTCTATGGAAAAGTTTAAGCACTTCCTGCTGCAAAGATAGGGAAGTGGTAAACAAGGGAGATAGAGGAGATATACACACCAGTCTGGACCACTAAGTAGGTTGGTTGTGCTTAGTCTAACAATCTGCACTAAAATACAGCCAAATGCCAGATCATATATTCAGGAACAACAGGGACAACAAAGCCTGTGATGAGAACATAAAGGAATACTGGAAGGAATAAAGGCATAGTGGAAGACAGCAAAAATCAGAAGAATTTAGATGATGGTAGCTAACCAAACCAGAGTTACAAATGAGATGCTACAAAAGAAAGGACAAATATAATCTCTGACTGCATGAACAACTGAATAGTTGATACAGATGGAAAAATATAATATCTCCAGAATTAGTGAGATGATTACTGCAAAAATGGATCTATAAAGTATGTTAAAAATTTGGAAAACTGTCTGGAAAGCAGCTATGAAAATAATTTATAGAAAATAAATACACTTAGAGATAAAAAGAGATACAGAGTTGTAATACTTAGTGTGCATAATTTAATAAGAAGGCATGAAAGAGTCAATACAAGTAACCACTGAAACATCTTACCAAGGAATGTGATAAAGCTCCCATCATTTGAAGTATTAAATCAATACTGGACATCTTTCTGTAAGTTATAGCTCAGACAGAACTGATGGATTTGATGCTGGAAATACCTACAGAGTTCTCTGATCTGTACTGTGTGAATAATAAAATGAACAGAAAGGACCACTCCACGAAAACCAGAAAGCATCCCACATGGAATGTGAACTTACAATTACAAAGTCCTGCTTGTTCCTCACAAGCCAGGAATCAAACTAAACACCCCAGAGAGAGCCTAATAGCCCCTGTTAAACCTTCAGAGAGCTGCCTATGTTGGAAGTATAGACCCTTTGTTATGGATATCAGAAAAGGCACTTGGTTCATATATCCTTTCCCAATTCCTACCTTGCTACTCCTCTCAAACACACACAGTAAAATTACTTGTTTAACATGAAGAGCAAGGATAAGTAGACAGGGTTTTGTGAAAACCAGTTTTTGAGGCTGGTAAAAATATTTCACAGTACAAGTATATAGATACAGTACTTCCTTGAAAGCTACATCTTGTACGTTTTTTTGTGACTACAGTCACAGGTGCTATCTGAGAATGTGCAGTATGGTACCTAAAACCACCACTAACTCATTGTATCATGCTTCAATGGAAAAAGCAATAGTTTTAGCTTGACTAATTAAATCAATATATCTATTTGACAACTTGCAGCTGCTGGCAATCTGCAGATGGAGGTAGATCACCAGCCTAATATTTTCTGTTTCTATTCCTAAGGATCCCTGATACGGTGTCAGGGAAAATATTTTCCCCAAGAGATACTATTAGGATGCTGCGAGACCATGTGACATTTAAAAACTATGTTACACCAGAAGACTAATAGATGTGAAAAATATGTTTGCAGTGGACGGATGCTGTCTTGGTCTCACTGGAGGCTGGAAAAGATTGTTTAAGCATCTCTGGTACATTTCTGCTACTATTTTGGTCATAGGCAAACACTTTCCAAAGAACTGCAGAGCAATTAAAAAAAGAACTTTCATACTGGGGCAGACTGCAACAGTATTCTCTGAAATGAGAACATTTATGCCAATAGCAATCTATCTTGCCTCTAACTTTTTATTACTCTTATTATGGAAGAATTTTCTGTTTCACTATGAGGGTTTTTTTCCTTATTAGTTCAGTTTCAGCTGGATCTTACACTTCTGCTATTTACATGGCAATCTAGTGATGTTGGAAATAAGCAAACACAAAACTGAAAATTCATTGGAAGTGTGAAAGATGTAGAAAGAGAGATTTGACACAAACAAGGAAAGAATTCTCAACTTCAATGCAAGTTTAGGCAGCAAACATGAAAATTCATCACACTAAACCACTATTGTATGCCTCTGACAGAAAATAGCCTCCTCCCTTATTCAAAAGTTCTGCTGTTTTCCTGGTTTGACCCACGCGTCAGTAACATCTTTGTCCCACATCCTTTTATCATGTTTCTGTCTCAAAAACAACCCTATTCTGGCAAACATTCTCTTTGGTTGATTGAAGAAGTATTGGGCAGACTGCTTCCCCGTCTCTGGGCTGCAATATGAACTCCATGCACCCTGCTTCTTCCCATCTTTGTTCCCATTGTTCTAAGACCTCTTTTGAGACTAGTCAAATGTGAGATAATTCATTCTGGGGACCTCTGGCAGAAAGCATTGTCCTCCTGGAAATTCAGAATCTTCTGCTCAGTCTCCTTCTTAAGGACACTTAGAAAAAATAACTCCAACTGCCACAGAGTTAATCCAAATTAATCTGCTTCTCTCATGCTGATATCCTTTCAGGGTATCAGTTCTTATTTTCCTCCTCCCATATTCTGCTTTTCAAAGAACAAAGGAACGGGAAACCAAAGGGACCACAGCTGCAACACCTGCAGATATGGACCATAGGACAGAACTGTTCCCCAAGCTTGGATGCATTGCACCATCAACCATTGACCTGTGAGAATCCCAGTGATTTAACAGGGGATAATACAAATCCCTAATGATGATAAGCAGCAGACAGGAATCAGTCTCTGGAGTTACTTCTCAACAGATTAGAAGTTTCATGTTGGGAATCTGTACATAGCTAGTCATCAGCTGTAACGGGCTTAAGTTGCCAAGGCAGCAAGGGTTCCCATAATGGTAGAAGAATTTCAGTAATTAGGTTTAATACATGGTATTGGAAGAAAAGATAGTATCTACAGGCCCAACATTTGTCAGCACCAATACAGACAAGCATGGATTAACAGAACAGACTTTATGGAAATGTAGGCTTTGGTGAACTACCTGGATGTTCTGGTAGAAGATTATTGCTTGACCTTTTATTCAAGTGCTAGATTTCCAAGATGAGTAAAGCACTGAATTTTCTTTCTTCATGGGTTTTGTCCTACCATTGAAACATCTACAAGTAGCCCTACAGTTATTTTTTTTTCCCTAGGCAACAATAAATTTGGGTGTTTCTAAGCCAAATGACAGTCTTCTTCCTAGAGAATCAGCCCTAGGAACTATCCCCTCCTAGAACACCTCAGAAGCATTAACATGAAGAATTATAACCTGGGGTGGCAAGTCCCTTTCACTAGACTGAGCTAGTCAAACAAACTCCATTTCCTTACTATATTCAAGAGTATAAGACAGCCACATCTGGACCCAAAACACATTTTGATTTTTCCAAGTCTTTCTAGAGCTAAAAAAGAAAAAAAAAATAAAAATTCACACCTTCCTTTGAACACATTTATGCTTATGCATCCAGTCACAACTTAAGAAGAAAAAAGCAGTGTAACTCTGGTTTCCTCCTCATTCTTCACTCCACTACCCTCTGACAAACACCTACCCCTTTAGAGTTACTATCTCACTAATGTTGGTGGTCTTCAGTGGGATATTTTTTTGGGGAAATATTTGGGTTTAGAACTACATAATTTAATAGTTTCTAATTCAGTCTATAGGAAGAAGTTCTTCTTGCATATCTAGGTCAATATCAAGACCATGGTGCATTCTTTAGTAAATGTAAATCACAGCTTAGAATATTTTCTAGTTTCTGTACAAGAGAATGTCAACAACTCCCTATGACCTTCAAAACAGCTCTATACTACATACAAATTAAATAAACAAACACGAAAAAGTTTTCTACAATTTAAAAAAGACCAAATACATTCACTTAAGAATTATTCAAACAGAACACTTTACCAAGTTAGAGCGACTCTGAGAAGTATGGTGTCCAGTCTCTGAGCAGCACATGGGAGATTCAGGCACATGTGATTCACTTTCTGAATTCAACAGAAAAAAAGTGTCTCCAAGAAAACAGTCACCATGCTGAGGGCGCAAAGTGCTTGTGGGAAAGGGGTTGGGGTGACAACACCACTCTTCAACTAAAGCACTCCAGTTTTCACTTGGTAGAGGAAGAACTCTGAGGAATTTCCTAAGAGGGAAGAAGAAAAAAAATATTTCAATAGATTATATTATTTTCTAAGACACTAAAAGAGAGCTTAGACTCCTTACAAAAAAGCGGGAAGTATGGCATTTTCTCAAAAGGAAGTACTTGAACCTCCTTTCAGTCAAAAGCACTTTGTTTGGATGCTTTTTGAAAAAGCAGTGGCTGTGTGTTTCCTCCCACGTTTGTGATGAAGCATTTCCCAAGGGTGAATCTCCGATGCTCATAAGGCAGAAATTGGCATAATCTCTCTTGAAATGCGTCACATAGCAAAAATAAAACAGTTCTAGCCAGTCGTGAAAAATATAACAATGGACATTTTGCAATTACAGTTATTATTACTTCTTGTAAAGTTCCCTTGCACCAAATGTTGATATAAAACCTACAGAAACAGATTGCTGCAACAGCAAGGGAGAACATGTCCTCTGAAGCCCCTCAAAGTCAAATACCAGACTTGGATAAAGCTAAATTCTGACAAAAATACCACAGTATATCTTCACTTTGGAAAAAAAAAAAAAAAGTATAACACCATCTTCACTTAGATTCAGACTCAATTTTCAGACGTCACATACAAAATAAAACTCAAACCCCTTTCTCCTGAGACTTTGTATAGACCAAAGAAGCTGCTCCAGGCAATACCAGACTTCGCTTTCATTATCGGTTGTACTGGGATTTTGCGTGGCAAGGTTTTGGTAGATGAGGGACTTCAGGGGCGACTTCTGTGAGAAGATGCTGGAAGCTTCCCCTATGGTCTGATGGAGCCAGCGCCAAATGGCTCCAAGACAGACCCACCACTGGCCAAAGCTGAGCCCATCAGTGATGGTGGTAGCGCCTCTATGGTAACATATTTAAGAAGGGGAAAAAACTGCTGTGCAACAGCAGCCAGGAAAGAGAAGTGAGAGTATGAGAGAGCAACAGCTCTGCAGACACCAAGGGCAGTGCAGAAGGAGGGGAGGAGGTGCTCCAGGCACAGGAGGAGATTCCCCTGCAGCCTGTGGTGCAGCCCATGGTGAGTCAGGATGTGCCCCTGCAGCCCATGGAGGTCCATGGTGGAGCAGGTATCCACCTGCAGCCCATGGAGGACTCCACACTGGAGAAGGAGGCTGTGACCCCATAGGAAGCCGTGCTGGAGCAGGGTCCTGGCAGGACCCCATGGAAAGAGGAGCCCACACTGGAACAGGTTTGCTGGCAGGACTTGTGACCCTGTGGGGGAATCCACACTGCAGCACTCAGCTCCTGAAGGATGCACCCCATGGAAGGGACCCACGCTGGAGCAGCTCATGCAGGACTGTCTCCCATGCGAGGGACCCCATGCTGGAGCAGGGAAAGACTGTGAGGAGGCCTCCCTGAGGAAGAAGGAGTGGCAGAGACAACATGTGATGAACTGACTGGAATCCCCATTCCCCGTCTCCCTGCGCCACTGAGGGGAGGAGGTAGAGAATCCAGGAATGAAGCCCAGAAGAACGGAAGGTTGGGGGAAGGTGGTTTTAAGATTTAGGGTTTATTTCTTATTTCCTACTTTGATTTGATTGATAACTGTCCTGGTTTCAGCAGAGATAGAGTTAATTTTCTTCCCAGTAGCTGGTGCAGTGCTGTGTTTTGGCTTTAGTCTGAGGACAATGCTGATAACACACCAACGTTTTAGTTGTTGCTAAGTAATGCTTACCCTGATCAAGAACTTTTCAGTGTCATGCTCTGCCAGTGAGGAGGGGCACGGGACGCTAGGAGGGAGCAGAGACAGGACACCTGACCCAAACTGGCCAAAGGGGTATTCCATACCACAGCACGTCATGCCCAGTATAGAAAATGGGGGGAGTCACCTGGAAGGGACCGATTGCTGCTCGGGTCGGGCTGGGTATTGGTCAGTGGGTGGTGAGCAACTGTATTGTTCCTCATCACTTTTGAAAACTCATCACTTGGGTTTTCTGAATTCTCATTTCACTTTATTTTTTTGTTTCCTACTGCTATTATCAGTATTGTTATTGTTGGTATTGTTTCTATTATCATTATACTGTACTTTAGTTTAGTTATTAAACTGTTCTTATTTCAATCCACAGGTTTTACATTCTTCCAATTCTCCTCCCAATCCTGCCTGGGAGGAAGAGGTTAGGGAAAAAAGTGAGTGAGTAGCTGCATGGAACTTAGGTACCAGCTGGGTTTAAACCATGACAATAATAAATTGTATTAATTTTTCCCTGAGTCTATTGTGCTTGAGACAGTAATTGGTGAATGATCGCTCCCTGTCCTTATGTCCACTCAGGAGCCTTACGTTATATTTTGTCTCCCCTCTCCAGTTGAGGAAGGGAGTGACAGAGCAGCTTTGGTGGGCATCTGAAGCCCAGCCAGAGTCAACCCACCACCAGCCTTTAAGAATTTCTTCATGATAGAAATAAAGCCTTAAAGAATTAGTTTACATATGAGCTACACTTAGCATAACTGGAAGAGGAGAAAGAAGAAAGAAAGTATCCCAAAATCTTTGCTGCTCTTAAATCATGGAAAAAAAAATCAATCATAAAAGAAAAAAAAAACAAACCCAAAACAAAATATCTAATCACTTCCTCTAATGTGAGTAACGTAAGAGTACTGGAGCAGACTCCAAAAGCATAACCCCAACCTCTGAAGAGCTGCCAGATTCATGGAAAGAAATAGACTAAGCCAGGGGATTTCAGGAAAGGTATAAAGTCCATTTTCTTGCATCAAGGAAGAAGCACTTACATTTAAGCCATTACTAACACATTTCTCTAATCTAGTCTTTAAAATGATGGCTTCCTCTGCAGTCTCTAATGGTAAAAAAAAAAAAAAAAAGGCTTTAGAATACATTTTGAGGGTTGGGGTTTTTTTTTCCATTTTAAGCTAAATTCCTCTCACTTCAACTGAAGACTACTGCCACCTTCTTTGTTGCAACTTTTTACACATTGGAAGTCTTGCATCTTCTCCACAGCCTTATCTAAACTAAATCCCATTTATGTCAATTTCTTTTCAAAGGCATAATTTTCTAGACCTCAGTTTTTTTCTTATTATAGACCCTTTCCTATTAATTCACACTTCAGCTAGTTCCCCCTCACACAGTTCTGTAACTTCCCTTCGATCACACAGCCTATGCTGCCACTGTCATATTCACTCTCCCTGGAGAGACCAAACACAAATTATGTAGCTAAAAGTACTGACTATGCTCCTGTCTTCCTTTTGGAAGTGCTGGAACAGAAGGTACTGGATACACTGACAGCTCTACTCTTCTACCTTTGTCTTAACATTTTTTAGTGATACCATTTGAGGGGCTCAGAGGTTTCCTGCAAGGAGCCGTGAAAATGCCTTCTTTTCCTTTATCAAAAATTTTGACTGCATCACGTTATAGGATGCAGAACAACCAAAAGATGTAAACTCCATGCATATGAATTTGATGTGCTGAAATTCAGGAAAACGCCCACTCAGAGACAAAAATACAAAAGTGCAAAATGTTTTGAAAGCAAATGTTACTGACTAGAAATTAGAAGTTTCATTACTCTACAAATGTATCAAAATAAGACATATTACTAGACTTTCTGATGAGACATTTCGGAAGAGAAAGTCAGGAAATCCTTATTCAGTTACATTAAAGCCAGTCATAAATCCATACGTATGATAAGAAAGTAACAGGAGTTTACAAGAATATACCACATTTTTATTACCATTATGAATATTAGGAGTGACACAGACCATAAAGGCTGCAGGTGTACCTCTAACAGTTCTTATATATCCAGCTGAAGCTGTCAAAATTGTTTATCAAAAAAGACAGAAAATGCAGCAGCTTTTCATTAAAATTCTCATTCATTCTGCAGACTTTGTAAGGAAGATAGGTAAGGCTAAGACACACAGCTAAGAAACAGCTCCTGTGTTTCCCAAATTCAGCATCCCTGAACTATGTGGAGGTTGGCTTTGCTTAACAGATAGAAGGGAGCTGTGGTCAACATCCCCATTCTGAGCAGCCGCTCTATAACTCCAGCATGATGACAGAAGGGAATTTATAAAAGACTGAGCAGAACTGAAGAGGACCCCTGAAGTGCAAAGGAAGAAAGAAGTCTAGGCTCAAATTTTCAGTTTTATTCTCTTCAACATATCAAAGATGTCAATAGCTAATAGTCTGTGTATTTTTTAAATGAACTATGAACATCTGCAATATTTCCAAGCCAAAATGTTACAGCTTTTTGTTTGTACCGCAAAGCCAGAAGCTATTATGATGACTGCAAAGAGATTCTGTAGGAACAAAAAGCACAGCTCTCAAAACAGAAATTTTACACATAGGGAAGTCCAGCTACAAAAGTCCAGCTTGTCACTTAGAGACTAGCAGGAAAAGAAGCCAGATTTCCCAGGTTCCAGGGCAAAGCACCAACTCCCTTTGTAAGGTACTTCTACTTTCCAGACAGAATGAAATCAAGAAATAAATGAGTAAACCGTGAAAAACTGTTTCAGGTAATTTTGCTTTTAGTCATCCATAGTGCTTCAAAGGTGTTCTCATCTATCAATTTCAAACTAAATACCTTTCAGGTGTCTCTCTAAGTACACACAATAACATGAATACCAATTACTATGGCATTTACCACTATAAATACAAGACACTGCAGTACTCACCGGTCTTTTACTATGATGTCACCACATGATTGACAGTAAAAGACATAATTCTTCTGGGATTTAAGGCTCTGCCTCAGAGTAGAAACCAAATCTGTAGACAGAACACATACTAGTCTTAATAACTGAGTAAAACTTTCAGACACTTGTACAGAAAAATCCTGCCAAATACTTCAAACTAATAAAATATAAGAATCTAATAAACAAATCAAATGCTGACATTTTAAACACAGCCTTTATTTTCCTGTAGAAGCAAGTACTGAGATTTAGGAAAAACTTGCCATCTCCACCTCATGCCCCATATTGATACAAATACATGAATAATTATTTTAAAGGTGCAAATCCTCTCCACAGGTGGAGTTGAGGTATTGATATCATTAGAGATACTACAAATTAAAATTCAGTGCCACCGTTTTTAATGGTATTTTTGCTAATCAGTGTCTCTGCAGTAGGAGGATACATCACAATATGTAACCCAAAATAGTCAGAGCCTGGGGGTGGAGGCGGGGGGGAAGTGCACTAATTTAAAATATTCAGGCAGGTAAGACAGCAACCACTGTGGTACCACCTGAGGAACAGAGAGTGAGCAATACCCTCTGCAGGCCAGCAAAGCAAAAACAGTCTCACAAAAGCCAGCTTAGACAACTTTTCCAAATTAAAAAGGAGCTATAAAGCCTCCACAAATCATAAAAAAAGATGACGTGGAGAAAAGCAAAACTGTAAGCCTAGATCTATATATGATTATGCTTTGAGCTGCCCACTTTCTCAAACTTTAGAATCAAAGTATATTCTCAGCACTGGCATTCAATATTTGAGATTCAGATTGCAACCACAAATGAAAAGTACTTTAAAAGGTTGCAGAATTTCATGGAAGAGACAACTGGTTTTCCATACTAATATAAAATATTAAAGGTAACTAAGGTTATCCGATACATGTACCAATCACCATCTGCTTCGCATACATGTTTTTCATTGGAATGACTTTCAAAAGTAAATTTTTAAAACCTGATCTCTGGTCTTTTGAAGCATGCCTCATTAATTAAGACACATTAAATAATTTTTGTATAATTAAACTGTCAAAGTATATGCATAATTACTGATTAATGTAAAGATACAACCTTGGCATACCATAAAATCAAGAGTATTCCACTGTGTTTCTGGTGCTGAAGCCATTATTGTACATCACATACTTTCTTGGTAATATCTACTTCAAAACCACAGAATGACAATTTTGTGTTATTTAATATATCTTTCTGTGTCACGACCTATTAAATAAATCTAAACATATTGAGCTTGGATGCTAGAATGAAATAAAGTGCCAGCTATACTACCATGCAATCACACGCCAGATCTGAATCGGCATCATGGAAATAAAGAAGGTAACTTTGCCTGTGTTATCTGCAATATTAAACTCTGCAAACTGAGGCTGTGAAAACAACAAGCTTCAACAAAAAATCACAATCCTCTATAATTAAGTAGCCTGTGGCAACCTTAGCATGATAGCCTGGATGAATCATGCTACTGCATTTTCATCTAACCAAAACTAAATAGGAGAGAAAGGAAATAGTTTAGAAGTAATCTGGGAAAGCACGGGGGAGGAACTGAGAGCAGTTCTCAAACTCCTACACAGAACACTTACTCAGCAACTGTGTTTCCCTTTCATTATGCCACTTTCTGCGATTTTCATTTTTTAAAACTGACAGTCTTACTAAATTTTACCAGTTCCTGTTTAAATCTTCAATTCAGAGCTAAAGGGCGTTTTAGAAAAAACAACAGCATGCTTCTTTGCAGTGGCATGTAGTGACAGGACAAGAGGGAATGGCTTTAAACTGGCAGAGGGTACATCTAGATTAGATATTAGAAATAAATGCTTCCCTGTGAGGGTGCTGAGGCACT